ACAATCATAATCATCAATATATGGCAATGGGTCATTTGTATTAAAATTAGGTAAATCAAAGTCATCACTGCTAAAGGGTAACTGTGCCAAAGTGCATTTGTTTACAAACAAAATGAATTCTGGCACCGTTGCTATAATTGTACATACATCCATCATGCACCCACCCCTTACACATTTTACATAAGGTGCCTTTTCCGTTTTTCATGCGTACTTAGTACAGTGTATGCACCTGTTTGGTAGTGTTTGAGATAATAATGGCTGTATTGTCTCACATTGACCTATGTATGCATTACATATGGCGTTAAGGTTATCATTCCTAGCTACTAGACCGTCATTATCACCGTCATTTATCTGTCTGTTTTGCCTCTGCACAATAGTTTGAGGTCCTGGATTAATTTGGATATCACCACTTAAGAGCGCTACAATAAGAGCTGTGTGCCATTGTTTTTGTTTGGGTATGCGGTGTTGCCATACCTTGCGGCGATAGGTTTAGGCAAGATGTCCACCTGATCTAATTGAGAACTTATTGTTCCGGTTTCTCTTTCCGTATTTAACTTTATTTTCTTTTTAATTCCCGCCCTCAAGGAAAGTTCCTTGATGCTGGTGAGAGGCTCTTAATCTAAGGGAATTCTGTGCTTCAGGTCCCTGAATTAAACCTGAATACCTTCCACATCCCCCACAGGCACTTATAATCCTACGGGTTTAGCGTTTTCCCCTTGATTATAATAATAATAATTTTTAATTCCGGCCTAGACATGGGCAAGATGTTTTTCCTGGGTCCCGGGAAGCAGGTCCCAATAAACCCTTAACAACCCCAACAAAACCCCCATCACCTGGGTGCACCGCACACCTTGAAAATCGTGCTTGATTCCCCACAAGTAACTACAGGAAGCTGAGACATCAGTGAACTAACACAACCAGTCACTCCACAGGACTGAACTTCTAGGTAAATTACATCTATCTTGAAGAATAAATCATGCTGCATGTCTCGTAGGTAAACCATGCTTGAACATTTACTGTGTTGCCAGGCCATGTATTTTATATAGGTTTGTGCAGTGCTGTGTGACCCTTGTGGGTTTAGCGCTTAGTTATGATTATAATAATAATATATAGGTTTGTGAGTGTTAACTGTTAGTCGGGATCTTGATCCAAGGAATTGGACCTGCCATCCCTTTCCTTGGAGCAAACCTAAATCCCTCCCATTCCCTCAGGTGCAGTATGTCCCCTGTGGGTTTAGCACTACCCCATGAATGCATTAATAATAATCACTGGACGGTGTAAGTTTATTTAAGTACAGGTACACATGAGTACAAATATCTTTAATAATTTAGCATATGTAAATTACCTAGAATAATGCAAAAAAAAAAAAAAGTCAAAGTGACTTATTTCCATTGGGGTCTCACTAGATACTGGGAGTCTTACTGTGGGTGACGAGTTTTTACTGTGGGTAGTGAATATTATTATTAAGGGTCACAAGTTGTGTGAAGGTTAGGCACTGCATGGCCCTTGTATGTTTAGCACTTCTATTTGATTATAATAATACTGTAATGTGAAGGTTAGGACTGAGTAAGGGGTAAGGGTGTGCAGAGTTAGGGATTAGCAGAGGCAGGTGTTAGTGCAGTAGTTACAGTTTAATATCTTTATTATGCACCCCATACCCATCCTGTGGGTGGTAGTCAAAAGATTACAAAGGTACATAATGGGTCCAGGGACTGGACCTTAAAGTTATGATAGCTGAACTAGTTACAAAGGTAATGAACTCCAGGTAGATCTGGTCACAATCATGGCAAGTTACAAAGGTAATGAATCAGCCTCACTCCTATACATGGTTACAGTCATGAACAAATTACAAAGTAATGAACCACTGATACGTCCACACCTGTCACAATTGTAATGAGTTATAAATACAAATATTAAGTGGATCATATGCCCACACTAGCGCACGCACACACACACATACCCCACAATAGCAAATTTGAAATCAAACTTGGTGCAACTGGTTAGTTCTGTTAAAAAGTCACTGCATGACCCTTGTCGGTTTAATGCTTTATTTGATTATAATGTTAAAAAGTCAGAGTGTGAGTGGTGAATCTCACTGGATGCAGAAGGGTGGTCACTGGATGGAGACTAGATGGAGTTTAATTCTGGGATGAGGAGTCTCAGTGTGTTCTTTATTTATTTTAGTTGCAATTTTGACAGCTTGAGCAATGTCTTCTTATTTTTTAACCTGTAATGCCCTCCTTGGGTTTTCCATGGACAAACTGGCAAAAATTGCTGTTGTCTTGTCCACAAATTGCTAGCAATCTGTGTCCTGACTACCTTGCCTCAAATTTTAATAGAGTTGTACATAAATCAAGACCTTCAGGATACTAACTGTGTCTTCTGAAGGTCACAACCTGAGTGTGAAGTTAGTTGGTTATGCTCACAATCAGTGCCTTTATTGTATTAACTTATGAAGATGATACTTTCTTTTCTTTGAGCCTGCAATACTTTATTTATAAATTGTATTAATCATATTTTATGGAATTCATTTATTATACACCTGTAAATTTTATTATTTTCAACTTTTTTAATAGGGATAAATTTAATGTTATTTTTATTAGGATAAATTTAAGGGAAGCAAATGGAGAACCTTTAATTTGGCTTATGGTTATTTAATGTATAATTCATGAATCACTTAAGCTCGCCCTGCTTTGTAGTCTGAATATTTTTGAACCTGACAGTAAACCAATATTTCTAGTACTGTACTGTGAGACATACTGTAATTACTGCTTATCTTTCTTGGTTACCTTTTATTACCTTTGTTTATAATACTCAGTTACAACCATTACAGGACAGAATACATTTCTAGTACTATGCATAAAATTTCTTCTTTCAACAAACTGGCCATATCACACTGAAGCAGGGTGGCCTAAAAGAAAAAACAAGTCTCTCTCTTTTAACTTTAATGTATACTGGAAAAGGGTTACTAACCCCTTGCTCCCGGCATGTTAGTTGCCTCTTATGACATGCATGGCTCACAGAGGAAGATTTCTGTTCACTTCCCCAAGAGATAAACAAAACAAGAACTAGTAAGAAAATAAAAGAAAACCCAGAAAGGTGCGTATGTATATATATATATATTTTTTTTTTTTTTATTTTTTTTTTTTTTTTTTTTTTTTTATTAGTTATAGTCAGGTATGAACGTATAAACACCAGTAGTGCAGTTATATATATATATATTAGATATATATATATATATTATATATTATATATATTATATATTATATATATTATAAAATTTTTATTTTTCTATTATTTATATTTTTTTTTTTTATTTTTTTTTTTTTATTGTTATTAATTGTAATATGAGTTTGTTTAAGATATAGAAAGTATATAATGTAATATAGATAATGTTATTATATATATGTAATACATATTATCAATATTGTATATATAATATTTCACCCTCCCTAAACACTTTTAAAGAATAAAAAAAAAAATGTGTATATTAATATATATATATATAATATATATATATATATATATATATATATATATATATATATATATATATATATATATATATATATAATATATAAGTGGACCCGGTAACGAATTTTTTTATCCAGTGTAAGTTAGAATGCCAAGTACGACCGAAAATTTATTTAAGGAAAAAAGAACCATTCAAACCCCAACATACATGTAAAACAATTACAATTCCATTTACCATAAGTGCAGGAGGTAATCGCTTGCAGGGTTCCACTTACTAAAATAAATTATGTATTATAAGAAGTTTTTCTTATGGCGTCATTTTGTGTAATTAGTATCAGTTGAAGATTTTACAAGACAGATTAAGAAATCCAGCACCCCAATCATTTACAATTAAATCCATTTCCTCCACCTACCCAGGACGGAGAAAATCCCGCAGCAGTCTACGTTCTCCCAAGCATTTAAAATTCTGTTAAAAGTTTTCATGGGCAAATTTTATCCCCTGTGAAGTTGTTCTGTTTAAATCCACCATTTAAATTTTGGTTTGAATAATTCCTCAAGACTGGGGAACACCAACAGATAGTTCTAGCATTACAACGTTGAAACAGTCAGGAAATTCATTCCCCCTGCAAATTGTGTAAATATTTGTAAGAATGAAGGATCAAGTGGATTCACAAACCAAAAATGAAATTGTTTTTGAAAGTGAAGAAAATCATGTCACAAAAAGATTAATTTGAACTGCAGAGCCAGTCTGCTAACATTTCAATTGCATGCAAAGTCCTCCTAAATTTTCTTCAAATTTAATTTAAATCATTGTGACCACACAACTTCTAATTAATAGGTAAGTATAATATAAAAGTTACTCTAGGTGTAGGAATTCATTTGTTTTAAAATTTTCCCCATGCATTGCTTAAGAATTTTTGTACAGTATTCTACAGCAGTAGTGATTTTTTTATTTTCTAAACGTTAAAAAAAAAATTACACTACTTTTAAATCTCTTGTTTTCCTTTTCAGGATGCTTAAAAAAAA